ACCACATAACTGCTTTGTGTTGTCCATGCATATCTTTGACCTATGCAGGATTTCTTCCTGCGGTAGAGATTCGTCAATGCAACATAGATGATGTTCAGCCATTCAAYATTATTATTGTTCTTTCYTGTTTGAATAAGAGGGGAGGAAGYGGGATTCRGAATGACTTTTTTYTCTCTCTCTCCCCTCATGTTTAAACATTTCTTTTTGCAATTGGACGCCATTGAACTTTCWGCYGAGTGAACACTCCGAAATTGGTCAGGACCGMAACACCGAACAGAYAGACAGACAGAGGGTGGGAAAGAGAGAAGCGCGTGCRCACGTGGAAGAGGRAGAAGAGGGGTTGATGCTAACAAACCCAGCATATAAACTACAGGTCACTRGATGAAAGAATGTAGAGCCAGAGAAAGGAAACARCAAACACWCTTAGTGTACACTCACATACRGATACTGTGATGGTTTGCGCACATGTCCACAACAACAGAACAGACAGACAATGGGACCTCCACCAAGCCCRWGGCAAGAAAAGCAACGACAACAACCCCTAATTTAACGAGTGGCGTACTTGTACCCAACTTCCGTAGACGTACAACGCACCACGMACCTACAGACCTACACAACCGTCCAAACGGCAAACATCTACGAGCGCATTTTGGTAAAGATCCAAAGTACATGCACTCACATGGAAACCTACAGTAAGTGGACCGAAGGCTAGGACACACATTAGATAGACCTCCGGGTGCCAACGAGTCTTCAGAAGGGCGGAAACGAAAAACAAGTACAAGGCCGAAAGACCCGGGACTACGAAAGTAGAGACAACTGACAACAGGTTCCGCCGTTGAAGCCCACTGAAAGGCCGATCATTCGGAAAGAAAGAAAGAAACAAAGACTTGAAGAATGGAAGAAGAAGAAAATGAAAATGAAAAAAAAAAAAAAAAAAAAAAAGTAAGTAAGAAAGAAAGGAGAACGAGAAAAAAACAAAAATATATGGGGTTCACTACTGCGCGCCAAAATCAGCGACAGAGTCGTCCTTCAATACCTTCACGTCCCCCACTAGTGAACACGATCTCTCTCTCTCTCTCTTTCTCTCTCTCTCTCTCTCTCTCTCTCTCTCTCTCTCTCTCTCTCTCTCTCTCTCCCCCCACCTATTCAACCCACCTAACACCACGAAGACTTCCAAGGAGTCCACGATTCGACAGGACAACCGTTATGCAGCACACATAGTAGAATTATCAAGCTGCCTTTTTTTTCGCGGACCCCCCTTTACGTGGCACTGCTTTCCTCTTCTTCGCTCCTGCTCTGCTGCCATCCCTTTCCGCCTGTCTGGCGTCCATCCGTTCCTGTCTCTTCTCAGCTCTCGGCTTCTCGTCCAACATACCTTGATATTTCTCAACCCAGCGATGCTTCGACAACCTATCTACCAGTCTCATGTCCTTGACCTGGATCGTCACCCTCTTCGAATGGATGACCACCTCGTTAGTATTCTCGAAATTGGCGACCAAGTACGCCTCGGCAACTTCCATCAAAGCACGCACCGCCGTCATCTGAAACCTCACGCCCATACCAGGAGCAATGTCCCGCTCCACAACCTCGCGCACAATACGCAAGAAGGGTCCGAAAGCCAAGCAACGGTCGGTGGATCGTTGCAATTTTCTGATTTCCGACAAAGTTGCCATCCCGGGGCGTCGACGGCGTCTGGGGACCTGAGTTCGTGCACCTGCAGTGTCTTCGGTCCCTGGCACCGCCTTCGGGTTCAGCTTCTTTCTGCCTGCGGGCGTCTGCCCACGTGGCGGTCCCGGCGTCCACTTCTTCTTCTTCCYCGGGCTCTGCGACATCGCGACATCGCTCGATCCGCCCATGGCACCCTGTGCTGCAGAGCACCCTCCGACGCGACCAGGACCACATGGGCCCTCTACCTTAGCAGACAAACGGGAAATTTCTAAGCGCTTCTCTGTCCTGTTGCCTGCCTGCGCTTAACCTGGTAAGCCATCCTCTGACATATACCGAATGTCTCGTAGGAGTCCATCTGAGTAGATCAGATGGAAAGGCACACCAAGCGGGTCTCTGAATCTCATGGTGACGTCTCCACCGTGCTCATATGTCATGGGATATAYGACCGGGACCCAATCAAGAACGGTCGTGCAACCGTGCCTGCGGCGAATGCGAGCCATGTATCTRTTCTCACCGTCGCCGTGCTCTTGGGCCGTACAACTCCCCTCAACCATGGACCACATCCCCTGGTCATCCATGGAGTCATAACCCGCGCACACCATTTGACGCTCCTCCTCCCTTATCTTCTCCCAGCACCGCTTTGCGTGTTCAACAATTAGGACGTGGTCCTTTACATTCACATTGAAAATTGAGACACGTGCCAGAACCACGAGGAACTGTCAATGCTCCACAATGCCTGCATGCATCCATCC